CAACGTGGCTGCATCTGTTGTAAGACGTGGCCTCTTTTTGTACACTATTAACACGTCGCAGATATTTCTGCGTGTGGCGCATTTGTTCACGTCAACCCGTTTCCATGCAGTGCTTGCGTACGACCCTCTACGATACAGCACGATCATGTACGCATACGTTTCCCTGTTCGCCTTCCCTGACTTGGGTAAGCCATCATCCCGCCGTGAATAAATCGCGGGCAATGATGATGAAGTCACCTTGTTTCCGGGTGTCTACACGGGGAAATTTTATTTGTATGCGAAATGTTTACAATATCGCCTGGTATACAGGAGGTCGTGGGTTCTATCCAGACCCTGACCCCTGTATGTTTGGAGTTTGCATGTTCTCCTCGTGGTCGAGTGGATTTTTCCCCGGATCCTCTGGTTTTCCCCTCCACATTTAGAATCAACATGCGTTCCGAGTATTTGGTTGCTAAAAATTTCACCATGATGAGCCACTTCGTTGAGCTATAATATAATGTGGCCAAGTCGCTTCTGAAAAATAACTATATAGCTCAGTGACCCTTACCTGGTAAGATATATATATTTTTATAAAATTGCATGCGACATTTGCGAACCTAAAAGCATCAATTCTCAAACGAGAATTTCTGCCCACTTTATTTCGCAGAATAACTGAAACATTTTCCTAAACTGTAAAATACACCGCTGCTTTTAATTACAAAAATGGCAAACGAAATTAAGAATTACTGAATGGGTATATGGTGTTTTGGCACACACATGGTGGTACAGTGTACTCAGAAAGATTATAAATGTACCCACCATCCATACATTCCAGACAGAATCTAAGACGTTATTTTCAGACAGCTAATGAATAACTGAAAGCAAGTTGACAAGCCCAGTTTAGTGTTTACATGATATACTTTCGTTTGTCCGTGTATATTGTCAACACGGTATTGTACTGTTTTCCCCGCAATGTCCTCATCTAATTATTACGCTTGTTTGTTCACCCAGGAAAGCCTCATCACTCTTTTTCAGGAGGGTTCCTGCCACGTTTTCGTTGTGGGGGGGGGGGGGAGACAATGACTGGTCAGTATTTTCCAATTGAATAACTTGCAGATAATAACTTGCAGGAGCGCCGTGGTGGCGAGATGTTAACTACTTCGCCCGGTATGCAGGAGGTCATGGCTTTGATTCTGACCCTCACACCTGTATATTTAGAGTTTGCGCATGTTCGCCCCGTGGTCGTGTGGATTTTTCTCATTCCCTCCACATTTAGAAACATGCGTTTATTTTATTCGGCTGCTACACATTTCCACGTGATAAGCCACTTCGTTGAGCTATCATTTGTGATAGCCAGGTCGCTTATGAAAAGAGTTACATCGCTCAGAGTGGGCCTTATTTGGAAAAATAAATTATTAGAATAATCTTTAACAAAAAAATGTTTTTTTTTATTAAAATAACGCCAGCAACACAATAGCCTACACTTTGCGAATTACATCACCAGATGGTGGCAGAGTATGTTATGGGAGTAACCAGGGTGGGCCTGCTGGGTTCGAACCGGCGACGCTCTGCAAACTTTCCCACGGCTGGGTCGTGTCACCGCCATTGTCTCAAATGCCCCCGCGAGATGCACTGCATTGGGAGGCGCAGTCTCAACAACAAAATCATTACAACCACGACGACGATGAGATTCAACTAATATTCGCTTATTAATTGATATTAATGTACGGAATAATGTCATCATCAACATTTATTATTTACGCCGTGCCTCCCAATGCAACGCATCTCAAGGCGGTGGGTATGAATAAAACATGATGATTATTCGATGCAACGAAACAACATCAGCTCAGCAAATCAATATCCGTCGATATTCACGGTGGACTCCGTAAAATATTTTCCCCCGCCCGAATTCAGGTTAGGGGTGCGGCGCGAGGAGTGTTGGGTGGGTGGGTGGTGCTCCCGAAATAATTACATGATAAGCCGTCTCTATTAATCATCTATTCATCGTCAAGACACCTTCACCACGATTGCACCATCACCACCACCACAACCAGCAGCAGCAACACCACAAACTGCATAGAGGCCGCGGCGGCGGCGGCGTTGCGCGGTGCCCCTCTGTTTTATGAATGGACAACCCCGCGTGACCGCGGCGCAGCCAATGGGAGCCGCTCTCCTCGCGCGCGCGCGCGCGAGGATGCGCGCGCGGCTGCCCGGGGCCAGGCCTCCGCGGCGCCCGAAGCGAGCGGGCGACGGCCGGGGGCCCAGGGGGGCCCAGGGGGGCCCTCGGGGGTGGGGTGGGGGGGGGGCACCGGTCGGGCCCCCCCCCCTTCCCCGCAGCTTATCCAGCTCCTCTCCTCGCTCCCCACCTCACGATCCCCTCCCCCCTTCCTTCACCCACAAACCACCACGGCCACACACAACACAAAAAAAATCCCCGCCGCTCGGCGGCGGTGGGCGTGGAGCGGCGGCCGCGCGCATTCACAAAAGCCGGGGCCCGGCCGCCGTCGTTTTGTGAATGAGCGCCACGTTAATTCATCACCGAGGCGCGCGCGCGTTGCGCTGCGCTGCGCTCTCGCGCTGCGTTCTCGCGGCATCCACCGCCACTAAGCAACCACAGTCAGCGACAACAACAACCACCGTCAGCGACAACAACAACCACAACAGCAGCCACATCGCCCGATTTTTATTCGCAAAAAATATTTTTTTTGGTTTTGCATTTGCACGATGATGCAATCGTCGTTCATCATTATCATTACCGTCATTATTATTATTCGCGTGTTGTAATTGAGTCGGGAGGAGGAGGGGGGGGGGTTGCACGCGAGGTGCAATGTTGGTGTTTTTTTTGTTTTCCCCTTTCTCTCCCTCTCGTCCTCTCGTCCGTGGCGGCCTGGGCTAGGGGGGGGGGGTGCCGGCGGCGGCTGCGGCCGCGATTGTGCCGAGTTCGAGGAGGAGGCGGTGGCGGCCTCGGGGTGGTTTTTTTTTGTGAATAAAAAGAAAGGCGGCGCAGTCATGAATGAGAGAGAGAGAGCGAGAGCCAACGGGTTCCCTCTCGCAGGCTACAAACCCAGACGCCTGCAACCGCACGGACATCGCCTCGACGACATCGGCTACACCATGCATCGACACCCGCCACCACCACCATTGGCATCGTCGCTAGCATCGGTAGATGCAGTGGAACCTTGACCACCATGCGATGTGGCCATAGGATGGTTCCCCCATCATGACTCAGGTTACACACTCACACATCAGCTGGCTACGTCTCACATAACCACCACCATCATCACCTGCATCGTCACTCCTGCCATCAGCAGCAGCACCATCAACAAAAACCCATCATCTTCGTCGTGGGATGTGGCCACGGTTTACCCCCTCATAAGCAGATTACACGCACCAGGGATATCTATCAAATCAACCCCCATTAACATCATCAGCAACATCACCAGCAATAGCGCCATCGACAACGCCGAACACCATCACGAATGAGCCGCGGATTTTCTCCTTCACAACGAGACGCTCACCGCACGGATTCCCCATCGCTTCACACCGCCACCATCAACAACAACAACAACCATCATCATCATCAAACAGCACCGGCAAAATGCCATCGCCATCACAATTCCCTCGTGCAATACAGACTCTTACCATGAACATCGCCAGCAAAGCGATACCATCACGGGCTGACATTATTAACACCCGTGTGATTGATGATCGGTTATCCACATCCAGCAGCAGCATATGCCGCCACCAGCAACGTTACCAGCAGCAGCGTCAATAGCCATCATGATCCCTCGGCAGAAGTAGGAGTAAAACACCGTCACAGCACGATCTCCATCAGCAAATATCACCAGGAGTCGGAGCAACATCCATACCATCGCCAGCAGCAAAAGCTAACATCACCGCCGCCACCATCATCATCATCACGACCTCCCAATTCCCTCAGCAACATCTATACCATCAGCTGGAAACAGCAGTAACGGCAGACGTAACGACACCAAGAATTGTGAATGACTCCCTCACCACCACCACAGCCACAAGAGTACGGCACCATCATCATCAGGAAAAGAACCTCGCAACCATCACGAATTCTCCTTCCACGGTTGAGGCGCGCACGGTACGGGTTCCATCACACCAACAACCATCACCACCAGCACCACCAGCAGTTATACTCGAGCATACACCATCACCAACGACACCAAGACCATCGTGAAAAGATGGATCTTCCCCGCAACAACCACCGCCACCATCATCAGCAACGTTAACCACCACCATCATTACCATCACTAACAACGACCACGCCAGCAGCAGCAGCAGTACCAACATCACCATCACGTCCATCACCACCACCACCATCACGTCCATCACCACCACCACCACCATCACGTCCATCACCACCAACAGCGATAACAAAACAGCGACGACAGTAGTAGAAACTCGTGCGGCGTAGAATGTCGCGAATTCCGGCGAAAATAAACGACAAAAATAGGAATGATATTAGCAGTGATGAGATGGTGGCGGTGGCAACAATGACAGTGGTGTGTGAAGGTGGTAACGATGATGTGGAATTGGTGATGTAAAGCTGCTGATGGTGGGGGTGGTGTTGGTGACGATGTGAATGAAGGTGGCTGCGTAAAGATGGTAGTGGTGGTTTGATGATGGGGGTGGTGGTGGTGATGTGAATTTGGTAGCGATGGTCATAATACTATTACGAAATTGCAAAGGTAGTGATGGTACAACAGTCATGTGATGATGATGTGACAGTGATGGCCGACGGTTAATAATAATGCACGGTAGAAATTCGTGCAACGGTAACGTTAAAATAAGGTGACGGTGCTGATGGAAAAGTGGTGGTGGTGGTGGTGATGGTGGTGATGTGACAACGTGGGTGATGTCCGACTGGTGGCGACAGTCGGTCAAAAGGTAGCGGTGTGACGAACAGCCGCTGACGGTAAAGCTGATGCTGGTGATGGTGTGATGATGATGGTGGTGATGATTGTGTGGTGATGGTGCTCACATCCACTCACTCATCTGGATGAAGCTCTTCGCTCATGTTTCACGCGGCCGCGGCTCTCATCTTCTCGGGGACGCCCGGCGGGGCTGGCTCGGAGCTGGCCGCCTCGCTCGCCTCTCTCTCTCTCTGCCTCTGCCTCTCTCTCTCGGCCTCCACGGCCAGATGATGACGAGGATGAGGAGGTTGATGGTGAGGAGGAGTGCAGGTGTCGGTCTCCCCGCCTCCGAGCTCACGGCTGGAGGACACAGGCACGACTATCCGGGTTGCCTTGCTGTCCGCTGTGTTGCTATGTTGTTGATCTGCTGCTACTGCTCTGCCCGCGTCTCTTCCTTCACGCTGTTGTTGTTGTTGCTGCTGATGCTGCTGCTGATGATGATGCCGCCGCCGCCGCCGCTGCTGATGTAGTCGCGCTGGCCGTATGCTCCATCTTGCCGCTCCTCGGGCTGCACGAAGGACGCGAGGAAGGACCGAGGGAAGGAAAAAAAAAGGAAGGAAGAAGCGGAGGGAGGGATGCGGGAGGAGGGGTGAGAGCGCGGAGGACGGAAGTGGCGAGCGGAGATCTCACAGCCAGCACGCTCCCTGCCTCTCTCCCTGCCTCTCTCTCGCTCACTCCCCCCGCCTGCCCCGTGTCTCCCTCCCGGGGTCCCCTCCCCGCGGGCCTGGCTGATGATAGCGGAGGAGGAGGGTTTGATGGTGGGAGGTGATGGTGCGTGGTGGAGTGTTGACGTGATGGAGGGTGGAGGATTTTGTCGTGGTGGACACGGATGGTGGAAGTGGGTGCTGGTGGTGATGGAGACGGGTTTATGGTGGTTGTAGAGGATGACGGTGGAGTAAGATGATGCTGGGAGAAGGTGATGTTTGGTGATGGTGGTGGAGAGTGGTCGTAGAGTATTGGTGGTGGTGGTCCACGCGTTGAGAGGGTTAGATGGTTGTGTATGTGGAGGATGATGTTCTAATTATTATTTTGGGCAAAAAAAGGGTCTCCACTCGGGGCATCTTATATAGTCTCGCAATACCGTGCAGTGTGGAATTTCAGGCTGTCAAGAAAATAAAAATTGACACTGATGTGTCCGTTTTGTCAATCCACTGCTGGATGAGGGACCTCCCCACGCCGTGCGGGTTGTGTGCGATATGTTCCGATACTTCACGCTGGTCAGTGCGGATCGGCGACGTCGCCGGGGGGAGCGTAGGCGTCCAGCACAGCGGTGGATCTTTCTGCACTGCCCTCTGCTGCCAGCAACGTCGCCCCCCCCACAGCCACTGTGATGCGTGGGGTCCAGGGTCTCCCGTTCTCAGCACTCGCCAGGCCCACAACGCTGCCGAGATCGGATGGAGGGCTTCCTTGGGTGATTTGGTTACGCACACGCGGTCACCAGAATTCACCCCAGCCTCGGCATCGTCAACATTAAAATATTTACCCAACAAGATCAAGATCTATTCTGAACACGTCAGCAGCACGGGACGGTGATCATCAGTGGCCGCAGTGTGGCTGTCGTGGGCCCTCCCATCTTGTCCAATCGGGCCCCTCTGTGGGCCTCCGTCTGTGCAGTTGCACCGCCTACACACTGTATAGCTACACCACTGGTGTTACAGATAGTTATAATGTTATAATAACGTGCTCCAATTTATTAAGCTAAACTTTTATTTATTTATTTTACAAGTAAGGCCCACTGAGCAAAACATATCTTGAGAGTTCAACAAAGTGGCTTGTCACGTGGAAATGTATTGCAGCCAAATACTCGAAAAGCGTCACGTTGATTCTACATGCGGAGGGGGGCCCCGAAGAAAAATCCACGCGACCACGGGGAGAGAGACACGCAAGCTCCAAATATACAGCTGTCGTCAGGGTCGGGATCGAACCCACGACCTCCTGTATACCCGGCGAGGTAATTAACATCTCGCCACCGTAGCGAGATGTTATATTGCGCACATAACGCCTGGGGACTTCTCAGAGTGCAGTCATTTTTATCCGAGGGAACACCCTCGTGGCACATTGGTTCTTGTTGATAGTTAAGCTCAGGAACACACCGATGGCTGCCAAAGGGTGAAACAAAAAAATATAACTTCACCATAAACGCCACAGCTGTAACCTTCGCAGCAGCACGCAACACAATACACACAAACATCTGTAAGCGGTTACAACTCTGCCAGGGGTATGTACGCGTGTGTGTGTGGTATTTATTTATTTCCTGTCAATTAACCCAGCTCCTGAAATTAGACCCCCCCCCCAACCCCTCCCCCTCCACTTCCTCTAACAACCACAGCCACCACTAAGCCCCCCCCCCCTCCACCACCACAGCCACTGAGTGCACAACCTAGGCCAGCCACCAGGGGGAGCCACACCGCACGTGTGATGAACTCCAGGGCAGCGTGATGGTTATATTGGCTGGCTCGTGTGATGGGTGCTTGGGTTGCCACCTCTCCAGAATAATGGCCATTCGATGTTTCCGGATGTATGAATCGATTGTACCGAGATCTCACGGTGTAGCGTTTATAACTCGGTTACGGTAAGCTGCAGTTTTCAATATGTATGTTGAACTTCTACATTATGGGATCTCCTTGCCAGTACCAAAATATGAGAATAGGGTTTCCCCTTTTTACTGGCAACAAAACAGGTGTTGAGATGTTAAAACACCAAACTTAAACCTTTTACAAGGAATCATGTCTGCATTAGCCACAACACCGTTTGAGATGAGGCTCAAAAGAAAGCTGTCTATGGTGTGGACCAATCAGTTTCAAAGACAATGCCAATATATTATCAGAGTATGTTTTTTGTTTGCATTCTGAGCACAAGTATTGTGGTTAATGCACACATGATTGCTTGCAAAAGGTTTCAGTTTGGTGTTTTTACATCTTAACACCTGTTTTGTTGCCAGAAAAAAGGGGAAAACCTATTCTCATATAGAAAGAAAATAAATTAAATAATAGAATACGACGTTTCGATTGCAACACAAGCAATCGTCATCAGGTAGAACTAAATTTGAGAGAGAGCGAGACAAAACACAGACACGGAGACACACAGACAGACACACAAGCAGAGAGAGACAACACAGAGACACACAGAGAGAGAAAACATACCTAAATACTCCCCGTAGAGGTGGTTCAAACTTGATTTGAAGCTTTCGTGACTGCAGGAAATAAATTTTATAATGGAATACGACGTTTCGATTGCAACACGAGCAATCGTCATCAGGTACACATAAACAGACAAGCAGAGAGAGATAACACAGACACACAAGCAGGGAGAGACGCACACATAGGCACACAGAGAAACAACGCCTCTGTGTCGAGGCTTTAAATATAGAGGGGGGGGGGGGGGCGGTAGAGAGAACTAAAGAGTAATTCCTGCATTCTAGAAAGCTTCAAATAAAGTTTGAACCACCTCTACGCGGAGGATTTAAGTGTGTTTTCTCTGTGTGTGTGTGCCTCTGTGTTTTCTCTCTCTGCTTGTGTGTATGTCTATGTGTCTCCGTGTCTGTGTCTCCGTGTCTGTGTTTTTGTCTCTCTCAAATGTCACACTTCTAATTTAGCAATCTTTGGAAGAAACGTAATCGACCAGGCTATGCGTTAACTGTGTGTTAGCCGACTCTCTGTGTTGCATTGCATTACATTTCTCCAAAATTTGCTCAGTTTGTTTTCTCAAACTGCCAATTTCTCTCTCTAAAATGTACCAGGCTCTCATTGGTCCATTCGCTCTTTCTCTCCTTCAGCCACGTCGGGGTGAATTTCCACAGAGCTCTCTCGTTGACATGCTAATTTCTCTGCTCCAGCAGACCCACCTCTCTCTCTGCCCCACCCCCTTCTGTCGCTATTTAAGGCCTCGACACAGAGGCATTGAGTCTCTGTGTGTCTATGTTGTGTGTCTCTCTGTGTGTGTGTCTCTGTGTTCTCTCTCTCTCTGCTTGTGTGTCTGTCTGTGTGTCTCCGTGTCTGTGTTTTGTCTCTCTCTCAAATTTAGTTCTACCTGATGACGGTCGCTTGTGTCGCGATCGAAACGTCGTATTCTATTATTTAATTTATTTTCTCTCTACGTCACTTTACTCAAAGAACCAAAGAGTAATTCCTGCAGTCACGAAAGCGTCAAATCAAGTTTCTATTCTCATATGTTGAACTTCTTTCGCACTGGACGCAGCTAACCGCGCGAAACATGTTCCTGAGCGAGAAATATGCCTCGGCTTGGTCTGCTGTGGAAACGGTAACAAAGTGTTGATGGTCCCGGCGAGGGTGATAGCGTGGAACAGCATGGTGATGTAGAGGTCAAGGAGATAGATGTGGAACCATATGATGGTGGTGTGGAACAGCATGGTGGTGGTGTAGAACAGCATGATGGTGGTGTGGAACAGTATGATGGTGGTGTGGAACAGCATGACGGTGGTGTGGAACAGCATGATGGTGGTGTGGAACAGCATGATGGTGGTGTGGAACAGCATGGCGGTGGTGTGGAACAGGATGACGGTGGTGTAGAACAGCATGGTGGTGGTGTGGAACAGCATGATGGTGGTGTGGAACAGCATGACGGTGGTGTGGAACATCATGATAGTGGTGTGCAACAGCATCGTGGTGGTGTGGAACAGCATGATGGTGGTGTGGAACAGCATGACGGTGGTGTGGAACAGCATGATAGTGGTGTGTAACAACATGGTGGTGTGGAACAGCATGATAGTAGTGTGGAACAGCATGACGGTGGTGTGGAACAGCATGATGGTGGTGTGGAACAGCATGATGGTGGTGTGGAACATCATGATGGTGGTGTGGAACAGCATGATGGTGGTGTGGAACAGCATGGCGGTGGTGTGGAACAGCATGACGGTGGTGTGGAACAGCATGGTGGTGGTGTGGAACAGCATTATGGTGGTGTGGAACAACATGACGGTGGTTTGGAACATCATGATAGTGGTGTGAGACAGCATGGTGGTGGTGTGGAACAGCATGATGGTGGTGTGGAACAGCATGACGGTGGTGTGGAACAGCATGATAGTGGTGTGGAACAGCATGGTGGTGTGGAACAGCATGATAGTAGTGTGTAACAGCATGACGGTGGTGTGGAACAGCATGATGGTGGTGTAGAACAGCATGATGGTGGTGTGGAACAGCATGGTGGTGGTGTAGAACAGCATGATGGTGGTGTGGAACAGCATGATGGTGGTGTGGAACAGCATGACGGTGGTGTGGAACAGCATGATGGTGGTGTGGAACAGCATGATGGTGGTGTGGAACAGCATGGCGGTGGTGTGGAACAGCATGACGGTGGTGTGAAACAGCATGGTGGTGGTGTGGAACAGCATGATGGTGGTGTGGAACAGCATGACGGTGGTGTAGAACATCATGATAGTGGTGTGGAACAGCATGGTGGTGGTGTGGAACAGCATGATGGTGGTGTGGAACAGCATGACGGTGGTGTGGAACAGCATGATAGTGGTGTGGAACAGCATGGTGGTGTGGAACAGCATGATAGTAGTGTGGAACAGCATGACGGTGGTGTGGAACAGCATGATGGTGGTGTGGAACAGCATGATGGTGGTGTGGAAC